CGTGATTATAAAAAAAAGAAGAAGAGATAATTCACAGTAACCGTAACCATTGCGCGTCATTGTGTGATAATTTTATGACTAATTGGATGGAAAAAAAAATTGAGATATATCGAGGTCACGTAATAGTTTATTAAATATATTCGATGTGTGTATATGTATGTATGTGCACTTAACTTAATAAATTATAAATTATAAATTTATATACACAGCGTAATTAAAAACTATATTTTAATAATTTCATTAAAGCTTTGGTTCTTTAGGAAACAATTGCAAATCATAACTTAAATAGAAATTGTAATACGGAATGACACAGGTATGTAAATTATCTCAATGGGGATATTGACATGTGTGATTACCATGCCACCTGTAAAAATATTGTTCGAAATTTTACTACTTACTACTTACAATTGTACTATCATTTTTTTATAATCTTAAGACCATGCCCAAGACACATCTGCTGCTGTGTCATTATTTGGCTTTGGTACTCTAACATCTATGTTCGGATAATTTAAATTATTAGCATTTGTATGTATGATTTTATCATCCAACACTTCAATAAATGTAGCATTTTCTGTCAAAAGTGGTTTGGAACGCAAGTTGAGTATCATTAATGTAAATATTTATCGTGAGCGGACCTGGAACACATCGCATAGGTTCTGGTTTCCATTCACCATTCGCATTACATCTCACGTTCGTTTTTTGTCCGGACAGTAGATTAGTTTCGGGTCGATAACTCTTTTCACATGACAATGTTGCTTTTGTTTTTGGTGGAACTGGAGATTTGCATGATATCCAATCATCGTTGTACAAACATTCAGATCTGATTGATGATGCGGCTAAAGCTTTGCAGAGTATTGCTATCAAACAAACATTGTCAATAATTAACATATAATTCTGATCGTTTTGAAGATGATAAATTTTTCTTTGACTGAAATATTCAATATTTAAGAATCCATATTTATTTATTTTAAAATAGTTAAAAATATATAATTACTAGTTTAATACCTGTGCAAACTGGTATATTAAGCCATTTTCCCTCGATACTGCTAACGTCGGTCAAACCTCTTATTTTATATCCCGAATCACAAAAGTAGACGAGATGAGATCCTAATCCCAGTTTTGTTCCTTCTGGAACGTCACAGTCCTGTCCATCTGAGCATTGCGATCGATGTAATTTCCAGCGACCGTTTTGCGGTTGCGGAGGTGCTTTGCAAGCAGTGTTTGTGCCAGAAGGTGTCCCAGAAGGACGTGTTGGTACGGGAGTCGGTAGCGATCGTGTAGTTCCTGTTGTTGGTCGCACCGACGGTAAAAATGACTCTAAAAAAGGCGCGCTTGTAAGTAGACGAATAAATGGAATAAATACAAATATTAGATTGCAAAATACAGATTTTTAAGTTTACAATCGTGATAACATAACGTTAGCTTCATGTCGCGCTTGCAAGACAAAAAATTTTTTAGATAGACAATTACCCTCGTTCGATGAGGTTGGAATTTCTAGGGGGACCGATGCGTCTGATTGATGAGTGAAATGTACAAGTTATGGGCACTACAATAGCTAGAAGTATTAAAGTTATAACGCACGATAAAACCGCACGTTTCCACGTCCAGAACCACTGTGTCACTAGAATAATTATAAAATATATTAGAACGTTTGTTTCACGAGTTACTTATTAATAGCCTTTGATAAACATCATACACAATTATTATGACGGAATGCACGTGTGTACGAAAGGAATGTTATAATTACATTAGGTTTTTCACGTAAAGCATTATAATTCTTGGTTGGTATCAATTTTCCGTTATTCTAGTCACAATTGAATAAACAATTTGCGGCATGCAATATCTTGCCAATCTATGTCAGATAGCGTGACACATATATACTGTGAGATAAAAATAGCTCTTTTATATTTAACTTTAATTCTTGTGGCGCAACTAAAGTGTAACAATTTTCAATTTAAAATATCATCGATATTAAAACTATATATTCTGGAATAGTTGTGACAGGACCATAAGTCAAAGGAGTTAATGATATTTGTGACATATCGGCTGTTCTTCCGAAAACGTTCATGCTCTGATTTAGATCAAAGTTTGTAAATAATTTCCTTCTAAATAAAAAGGCACATACTAAAAGGTATTTTTTGCGACACAAATAAAGTTTTTGACATCGACTATTTATTAGTTTATCGGCATTAGATTGACGTCAAATCGATTAATCATTTGTGGCTGAACAAGTACGTAATACAAAGTGTTGAAATGTTTAAATGTAAAACGTAGAGAAAAGAATTTGATTCTATGATGTCTGAATTTACCAAGTAATTATTGCGTTTTACTAATGTATTTAAAATTTTTAGGACGAAGTATATTTTTCTTTATAAGAATATTAGAGTAATGTCTTGTTGCGATGATATCGATAAAAAGTATCTACATTAAATTCAATTTATAATATACTTAGCATATTTATATTATAATTCAATTTTGATGGTCGCGATTTTATAATGTTTATATGAAACTGTTGTTGAAACTTATGAGAGATCTGTTCCTTTTAGTTATCCGCTCGGCTATTTTATGCTTAAACATACGAAAAGAAACAAGTATTGAAAAACTATTAAAAGCAACGGGCCTAAACAATATATTGCGTTGCACGATTAACTATTACCTTTATTTAATTTAGTATTTTGTGGAAAGATGCATCCGTCGTTTGGAGTTCCGTTGTTTTTACGCGTCGGCAAATCTGAGGTATTGTCGGAGGCGCGGCTCGCATCCTGATTCGGAGTAAGATTTGTGTAAACAAACTGCTTTATAGTAACAGGACTATTGTAGCAGGTCTGGTTAACCAGACGCACATTCCTCGACTTCTGCACTCGGACATTGCCGAAAGTCGGCTGATCAGAGTTCGGTAGGACGACATCGCCATTCGTGGTGGCGAAGGCTGGTTGCCGCTGAACGATGGTCGGCGATACCGGCAGATTTGTGATCCAGCTGCCTTCTTTGACATCCGTCTCCTCTTCCTCGTCGTCGTCGTCATCTACGTCACTGCACTGTGTAGAGGAATCTCCATTGCCCAGAGCGACGAACGCGGTTTCCGTCGCCGAGCGCTCAGTCTCGCCGGAAAACCTGATGTCGACCGCGTGACTCTCGGCGGACACAACAGTACAATTCACGTTGTCCTGCTCCTTCTGACCTTGATGGTGATTACCGTCGAGCGTTTGATGCTGCCCTTGCACCAATGTCACGTATAGGAATGCGCTACGCTGAAAATTCACCTAGCTTCTTTACATCAGATACGTCTTAAAATGCGATACACCGCATGCAGCAGAATACGCTCGAGAAACAGCTGTAGGGTTTTTAGATAAATTTATCGGATCGCTACGTTAATTCGAGATATAAGAACCGACTATGAATACCGGCCTAAATGTTCGGTTTCATTCTTTGTCTCTTTTTCCTCTCATTTCAGATACTTAACAAGGGAAAAGTCAGTTTGGAAACGTGATTCTTTTTTATTGTTAACAGTTTGCGAAAAACTACGGCTTTTCAATTATCTTAAAAACGGTTTTTCCAAAGATCGTCGTTTGATATATTTAAAGCATTCGTACAAACTTGCCAGATCTGCAATTTCGTTTAGATTTAAAATTTTATTTAGTTAAAAAGAATTACCATACGTTTTCGAGTTCTTCTTGTAAGATTTACAAAAGAACTGAGATATATACTGAATCATGGTTAAGATTGACTAATTGGTGAAACCAGTCATTTTAGTATCGCTGAATAAAATCGACGAAGAATGTAACAGTTCGTTTCTAATCGACGGCTGTCGGATGTGCCTGTTGAGTCTTTGTTTCATACAACAATAGAAAGTTTTAATCAAAAAAATTATGTTAACAAAACTTTAATGCGCGAATTAACAAAATTAGTAATCGAGGAACAATTTCTGCGATAACGGCAATGATAAGAAGTTTAAATAAAATATTAGATTAAAAATAAAATTTAATAAGCAAATATTATCTGGTATGGCAATCTTATTCAAATTTCCTTTATTAATTGAACAAGGCTCCAACGTTATGCGTGCTGCATACGGTATGGTATAACGCACTTGTGTATTTTACATCTTATATACGGATATTTATTAATTATTGTAAATTGATACAAATCATATACGTAAATTAAAGACATTGGATGTGCATTGCTGATTTAGTGGATAAATTCTTCATAATATTTAAAAATCATACCATTTAAGTCATTAAGAATTCTTACAAAAGCGAACACACTAAATACCGTTAATGTACGCCACTGTGCTCTTTTTTGCATCGTATCATTTATCTTGCATCTTTTATCTTACGTTATTTTATAAATAAAAACCATCACGAACAATTCAGAAATGTTCCAGTACAATTATTGTTCTATGTATAACTCTGTATTAATAATATATTATTTAAACTCCGTTTTTACAGATTATGGAGATTCACGCCGGTCAAAATAGTATATGTTTCGAATAGAATGTATGTATATGATAAAAGAACGGCGAAGAGAAAACGATAAGTATCTCTAATAAGAAGCAGAATATCTACAACGAATTCATTTCTTTGTAAACAAATTATGGACATCAATTATACTAGCATGAACTGAACGTCGCAGTATCATATCTTCGCCGTTCAAAATATTTTACTGCGAAATAAATTGCGTTCCCAGGTAGCAAACACAAGTAATTTTGACGTCAAATTTTGGTCCTTTACTGACCATTTCTGACGTCACTAACTGACGGCATAATGACGTTAAAATGACGGTCTAATGTCACAGACAATTGACGTCATTTACGTCATTGTACGACATACCGGTTTCTAGAATTGTTTTTTTATGAAATTAATAGACGTCATAATGACGTTGTAGAATAACGTCAGTATAATGTCATTTTTAAAGACATAGTTGTTTTTTGGTCATTTGACGTCATTTGTACAAACATGACTAGTATTTAACGTCAAAATGACTTGTGTTTGCTACCTGGGTTCAATTTGACTGATAAATCATATCTCGCTTATCTACATCACAGTGACAAATTTTTAATTAGCGATGGCATTACTTTTGATCAGTTAAAATTATTGACATCCGCCGATCGCAGCAGGTATAACAATTCATCATGCCTTAGCTTTGACAAATTAGAACATCAACTGTAAAAACGAAGTTTATCATGAAAATACATATTTTAACATACATTGTGTTTAAATCGAAAACTTATAGGTAAAATAAAAGATAAGCTCAATCGAGAAACATCACTCGTGATCATTATTTCAAATCGGCGCAGCCGGTCGGCAATAATCTGCATTATCCGTTAAATTAAAGATTGACTGATTCATATACATATTGCTAGAACTCCTTCCACTATTCATCGTTCGCGCTGGCGGCGATCACTTTGCCAACACTAAATTTACACTCAATCTATAATCACATGGAGCCATTATCGTTAAAAGCGCTTCGCGGAATGAAAAGCTTCATTTGATTTTGTCCTAACAATTTTCGACACGTCGTTGATACCACCAGCAGTTGGAGGATGCACCGTTTTGCAGGCACACAGGATGCAATCTGAACAAGAGCGGACTCCGATCAAACCATTATCGTTTATCTTCGTTGATTTTACGACACTCTGACGATGAGTCAGATAGATATATACTGGCTTCAATGATAAGGCAACGCGACTATCGAAAAATGACGCGCCTTAAATTGGCTGTGGAATCGTGGAAATTAAGCGTTCTCGTTTTCGCTCGCAAGAAACAAAACAAAAAATAGAAAAGTTAAGACCGGAAACTGGTATAGCGTGCACAATATTCTCTTTCGTACAACAGGGATTCCCGTATTTAATTTGAATGATAATGCCTCGGATTTCTGTGCTGATACGTGGATGGCAACGCGGTCATCAGTTTCACACCTAATCTACGTCACTAAAAAATCATTATTACAATGTTATTGCAACAATATTCTAGAACTTGTACTTAATGTTGTCAAATATGTAGTTCTTAATGTTGTATAGAACATCATTATAAACATACTTTAACCACAATTTCGAAATTTCAGTAATGTTGAAATGGGAGTGCCATAACGTTGCAAATATTGGGAAAAAATTTTGTTTTCTGGACGCCATTTTGTTAATTTTATTTCTATTTTTAATTTTTTAGGTATAATCAATAGAGGGAAGCCTTTTTTTATAAAAAAAATTATGAAAAAACTTAAATAACATTAATTTTTTTACGAAAATGTTAAAACATTATTATTTTATAATTTTATTTTGTAATTTTTATTTTATATTTTTTTCTAATCTAAATATTCCTATGCATACAACATATGTAAGATTAATCCTAATTTGATGTTGATTTTACTATAAAGACAGAAACAATAGTTTACAAAATTAAATTAGTTGAAATTGTTTTGGTTAATGTATTGATTAAATTGTTTAATAAAACAATTTAAGACTTCAGAAAATTTTTTAAAACTAATATTTTTTACATAATTATTGTTATATGTAAAATTGCTAGCAAAACATGGGATAGTTATCAGTATCAAATATTTGATAGAGAGTAGATGGAAGAAGTACAGGAATAGATAGGAAGAATTGAGGTATACAAGTAAAATATAATTTTGTATACATATAATTAAGTAATATAATTATATTAATATTTATAAAATTAAATATATGTGTTTGTATATTGTTTGTATATATTTGTATATATTTTTAAAGTTATTTAATATGAGTTATGAGTAAGTATTGCAAAGTTGCTAAATATTATGGATAATTTTTTACTGAGATTCAATATGTATGTATATATGTATGTATATATGAACAATATGTAAATACATATAAGTAAACATATGTTTAACTACGTCGCAATGATAGGAAGAGCCGACATCGAAGGATCAAAAAGCGACGTCGCTAACGCTTGGCCGCCACAAAGCCAGTTATCCCTGTGGTAACTTTTCTGACACCTCTTGCTGAAAACTCTTCAAGCCAAAAGGATCGATAGGCCGTGCTTTCGCAGTCTCTATGCGTACTGAACATCGAGATCAAGCCAGCTTTTGCCCTTTTGCTCTACGCGAGGTTTCTGTCCTCGCTGAGCTGGCCTTAGGATCGCCACCAGCCGCTCGACCGAGTGCGTGAACCAAATGTCCGAACCTGCGGTTCCTCTCGTACTGAGCAGGATTACTATCGCAATGACTAATCATCAGTAGGGTAAAACTAACCTGTCTCACGACGGTCTAATGTAATTTTTAACATTCTTTTTCTAATAATAGAAACAAAATGTAATTTTCAAAAATAGTTACTTTTTAGTAAACTTTAATTTGTATTTATATAAAATCTCTTGTGTATTGTTTTTCATGACAATATTACACGAATAATAGTGCAGTTTACACTTACAATTGCGCGAATAATACTTGAAGGATATATTTATTTTATGATGTACAAAAGAATATGGTTAGAATATTTAGATATTACACATATAATTATGTTTATTAAAAAAATTTGTATCAAAAAATTACATTGACGAAAAAAATTAATGTAATTTTTATACTTTTAAAATCATTGTGGACAATTTCGAAAGCACATAAATTGAGGAACATTTTAAGAATAAAACCAATTTGGTATCTATATTTTAACTGTTACTTTACTCTTGTACGTATGGGGTGCTCACGTTTGGGTCGGCCAAAGGGGATGAACACGGATGAAATCTCATTGTGCACATTTCGAGAACACATTAATCAAGAAACATTTTAAGACAAGAATTATTTTGCTTTCTGTATTTTAACTGATACTTTACTCTTATATCAGTAGTATGTAGATCTTTTTTTGCGTATACCTATATATCGGATATATACCGTATATATCTTTTAAACTATTACAGATAGACAGTGCACTGGTCTATTGAGCCAAAGGTCCCGGGTTCGATTTTCACCGGTAGAGCTAAAAAAATTATATTTGCTCGTTCTCCTCTCGGAAGGCAATGGCAAACCACCGAGAGTATGTCTTGCCAAGAGAACTTCTCTAAAAAATATAGCTGTTCAGAATCGGCGTTAAACTGCAGGTCCCATATACAATGTGTATAATCTATGTGCGCGCATGCGCAACACATGTATATGAAGAAAAGTTGCCACGCTCGAACATTAGTAATAGGATGAGGATGGATTGTCATATTAAATTATAACAAAATAGTAGTCTTCGGTATATTTTAACATTATACGTCAATGATTTTAAATACAAAAACACTGCGTTGAAACGAAAAATAACGTTGTACGTCGCAAAACTAATCCAGTTTTTTAACGTCATTTTTTATTTAACGTCACGCCTTTTAGTTCACAACTTTACCAGGTGTAACGCCGTGTTTACGGTCAACGCGGACTTGGCAATCGAGCTAGCTGCAGGAATCTTTTGGGTCAGGTGGGCAGGGTGACCAATTTTTCCAATTATTTCTAATTTCATTATATAAGGCATCTCCAGGACTCTCAGAGCTCACAACTTGTCGATTACCTAACAGTATATAATCAGACGCAATTTTTTTGGCTTTGACGCCGAACTCTATTAGCTTTTGCGCGGCATTTAATTGCGTTTTTGGCGGTACAACCGAAGTGAAATCACCAATGAACCCAATACCGATACTTATGCCGTTATAATCGCTTGAATGGGCACCCTTGTAATTCCAGCTTCTGCCAACATACGCGAGGCCGTCGCCTCCGACGAGGAAATTATAGGCGATATCCGAAAAATTATTTTTCATCTGATAATCCTGCATAATTCTCAATTGGTTTGCACACTTTGATTGCGTGGTACAGAAATTTGACGCAGTGTGACAAATAATTACATATGATACTGGCAGCTTTATTTTTCTTAAGGGTTGTGGCGGACGTGCATTCCATTCGTCCCTCTCGACAATGCGTAACGGATTCTCTGTCCCGTTACTACCTGCAAGTGATAAAAATAACGTACATATCGTACAAAAAGTTCAATTGTACCATGCGGACAAATTTATAGTTAAATGCTCTTTAATTTAACATCGAATTTAGCAATCTCAATCACACGCATATGCCAATTTTAACATTAAAATCTAGAATATTACTCTCATATATGAGAATGCAAAAAGTTTTAAAGTAATATATTATATGACTCGTGGAAAATAAAAAAAAACATGCTTTTAAGTAGACGAATGAATAATTGAATACAAATATATAATGTAGGAGACAGATTTTAAGTTTGAGGTTGCGGTAAGATAACATTTGTCGTGTCGCGCTTGCAAAACAAAAATTTTCCAGATAGGCAATTACCTTCGGTAGATGAGTCTGGAATTTCCCAAGAAACCGTTGTGGTTAGTGTGGGTGGTATGGGTGGTGTAGTCGGTGCGTCCGGATGATGAGTGAAATATACAATTATGAACACTATAATACCCAGAAGTATTAAAACTAGAACGCACGATAAAGCCGTATGCCATTTCCACGTCCAGAGCCGTTGCGTCACTAAAATAATTATAAAAAGCTATATTAGAACGATTGTTTTACAAGCTACTTAATATCGTTTGATGAAATTCATTCGCAATTACTATGACGGGTAGCACTATGTACGAAAAGAATATTATAATTACATAAAGCCTCTCGCACAAAGCATTATAATTCTTGTTTGATGTCATTTTTTTGCTAGTCTATTCACAATTGAGTAAACATATTACATTTTGCGGCATGCATTATTTCACCAATCTATGCTAGATAGCGTGACACATATATACTGTGAGATAAAAATAGCTCTTTTATATTTAGCTTTAATTCTTGTGGCGCAGCTAAAGTGTAACAATTTTTAGTCTAAAATATCGTCGATATTAACCCTCAGAGGCCACACCTCTTTTTTAAGTACACTCCGGCTACACTGGGTGGTCGACACCCAGACGAATTCAGTCTCATAATTCTCATTAATGTGCACGTAAAAATTCATGCAACATCTTAAGGGTGTTGTTCAAAAATATGTATGGTGCAGAACCCGAAATGTGCTCGATAAACAAAAATGTAATTTTTGGTCGCGATAAGAAATATATACCGAGGCCACACCTGGATGGTCACCAACCATAAATAATTAAAATGTTTATCAAACATAACTGACATGGCTTAAAGCCTTTCTACTGTACGGATTTTCGAGAGAAGAACTTAAACTAGGGATCCTAGATGGAGGGACACTGATTATAAAGCTTGTCTTAAAAGTATCAGGTTTTAATTTCTGTCTGGGTCATGCCACCTAGTGCGGCCTCGAAGGGTTAAAACTATATTCTGGAATAATTGTGACAGGACCATTAGTCAAAGTAGTTAATGATATTTGTGACATATCGGCTGTTTTTCCGAAAATGTTCATGCTCTGGTTTAGATCAAAGTTTGTAAATATAGATAAAAAGGCATATACTAAAGGGATTTTTTGCGACTCAAATAAAGTTTTTGACATTAACTATTTATTAATGTATCGATATTAGATTGACGTCTAATCGACTAAACATTTCTGGCTAAATATGTACGCAACACAAATTGTCGAAAATGCTTAAATGTAAAACGTAGAGAAGAGAAGTTGATTCTACTATGTTGTCTCTGAATATTTACTAAGTAATTATTGCGTTCTACTAATATATTTAAAATTTTTAGGACAAATATTGATTCTCTATAATAAGATACTCAATATATTTATAACACACGTTTTCAAATTATAAGCTTGAAAGTGTTGAAAGTATATTTTCTTTTATCAGGAAAAATATTAGAGTAATATCTTGTTGCGATGATATCGATAAAAAATATTTACATTAATTATATTCAATTTGTAATATATTGTACTTAGCATATTTACATTATAATTCAATTTTGTGGGTCACGATTTATAATTTCTTATATAAAATGGCATTTTATATAAAATTGTACGTTATTATCTTAAGATACAGATACTTATGAGGGATCTGTATTTCTTTTTAGTTATATATCCGGCGATTTTACGCTTAAACATATCTATACTTGCAAAGAGAAAGAAGTATAGTAAAACTAAAAGCAACGGGTCTGTTGCGTTGCACGATTAACTATTACCTTTATTTAACTTAGTATTTTGCGGAAAGGCGCATTCGTTTGGAGCTTCGTTGTCTTTACTCGTCGACAAATCCGAGGTATTGTCGAACGCGCTGCTGGCGTCATGTTTATCCTGATTCGGAGTAGGATTTGCGTAAACAAACTGCTTTAAAGTAACAGGACCATTGTAGCAGGTCTTGTTAACTAGACGCACATTCTTCGAGTTCTGCACTCGGACATCGCCGAAAGTCGGCTGATCAGCGTTCGGTATGACGACATCACCACTCGTGGTGGCGACCGCTGGTTGCTGCTGAACGATGGTCGACGATATCGGCAGATTCGTGATCCATCCGCCCGCGCCGCTTTCTTCGACATCCGTCTCTTCTTCTTCGTCGTCGTCGTCTACGTCACTGTACTGTATAGAGGAATCTCCAATGCTACCATTGCCCGAAGCGACGACCGCGGTTTCTCTCGCCGAACTCCCAGCCTCGCCGCGAAACCTGTCGACCGCGTGACTCTCGGCAGACGCAATAGTACCGTTCACGTGGTCCTGCTCCCTCTGACCCTGGTGATCACCGTCGAGCGCTTGCTGTTGCCGTTGCACCAATGGCACCATATCCATGCGCTACGCGAAGAATTCACCTTCTTTACATCGGATACGTTTTAAAATGCGATACGCCGCATGCAGTAGAATATATATGCACGTCGAGAAATAGCTGTAGAGTCATTAGATATCTATATTCGTCAGGTCGCTACGAGAGTCTCTCACCATTTTACTGTAACAGTTTAATTCTTTATCTCTTCTTTCTCTTATATCAGATAACAAGAAAAAGATTAGTTTGGAAACGTAATTATTTTTTGTTAATATAGGATTTTTTTAACAGTTTAACAGTTTGCGAAAAACTACGGCTTTTATCTTAAAAATGATTTTTTCAAAGATCGTTGTTTGATATATTTAAAACTCAAACAAACATTTGCAGTTTAAATTTAAAATTTTTTTTAGTTAAAAAGAATTACTACGTTTTTGAGTTTTCTTTATAAGATTTACTAAAGAACTGAGATATAAACTGAATCATGCTAAAAATTTACTAATTGTTGAAACCGGTCATTAGTACATATGTACGTTGAATAAAATCGACGAGGAATGTAACAGTTGGATCGTTTCTAATTGACGGCTATCAGATGTGCCTGTTAAGTCCTTATCTCATAGAGCAATAGAATGTTTTAATCAAGAAAATTTATGTTGACAAAACGTAAATGCGCGAATTAATAAAATTGGGGAGCAACATTGCCTTACATTGCAATAAACGGCAATGATAAGAAGCTTGAATAAATTAAAATAAATGATAAAAAGCTTAAATAGATTAAAAATAAAGTTCGAAAAGTCAAATATTATCAGGTATGGCAAATTTATTCAGACTTCCTCCGTTAATGAAATAACAAGATCTAACGTTATGCGTGCTGCGTACGGTGTAAATCGCATTTATGCATTTTACACATAGCGCATATTTATTAATTATTGTAAATTGATACAAATTATATCCGTATGCATTAAATATATCCGATGTGTATTGCTGTTTTAGTGAATGAATACTTCGTAATATCTAAAAATTGTATGTTTAGCTCATTAAGAATTCTTACAGAAGCGAACATACTAGATATCGTTAATGTACGCCACTGTACTCTTTTTGCGTTGAATCTTTTATCTTACATTATTTTATAAATAAAAACCATCGCGAACAATTCAGAAATGTTCCAGTACAATTATTGTTCTATGTATAACTCTGTATTAATAATATATTATTTAAACTCCGTTTTTACAGATTATGGAGATTCACGCTGGTTAAAATGGGTTATGTTTCGAATAGAATGTATGTGAAAAAAGAACGGTGAGGAGAAAACAATGAGTATTTCTCATAAGAAGCAAAACATCTACGACAAATTGATTTCTTTATAAACAAATTATGTATATCAATATACTAGTATATCACAATATCATATCTTTGCCGTTCAAAATACTTTATTCCGGAATAAATTGCGTTCAATCTGGCTGATCAATCGTATCCCGCTTACCTACATCACAGTGACAAATTTTTAATTAGTCGTGGCGTAACTCTTGATCAGTTAAAATTATTGACATCCGTCGATCGCAGCAGAAGGCATAACAGTTCGTTATGCCTTATTACCTTGACAAATTTCAACATCAACTGTAAAAACAAAGTTTTTTATTATAATTAAATCAAGAACTCGTAGGTAAAATAAAAGACAAACTCAATCGAGAAACATCACTTACGATTAGTATTCCACATCGGCGGAGCCGGTCGCCAACAATCCGCATTATCCGTTAAATTAAGGATTGACTGACTCATACTTATTAAAATTACCTCGCACAATTCATCGTTCGCGCTGATGGCGATCACTTTGCCGATACTAAATTCACCATCAATCTATGACATGGTGCTGACATCGTTAAAAACGCTTCGCGGAAAGAAAAACTTCACTCGATTTGGTCTTAATAGTTTTTGTCGTTTTCGACACGTGTCGTTGACACCACCTGCAGTTGGGGGATGCACCGTCCTGGGAGCACGAAGGATACAATCTGAACAAGAGAAGACTGATCAAACCACTATCGTTTATCTTCGTTGATTTTATGACATACTGACGGTCATTTAGATAGATACTGGCTTCAGCGATAAGGCCATGCGACTAACGAGTAATGGCGGCATTATCTTCATTAAATTCGACAAAGAACAGACTGCTGTAGCGTTATCTTGTTGAATGTGCTTAGAAATCTGTAGCTCCACTCATTATTGCCTCTTTCCCTCAACCATAACTGTTAACGACATAGTTGCAGCATGCATGTGTGTGCGATAACGTTGCTTTAGACGATTTTTAGTCTTTTCCATGAACCCGAACGGACTGGTATCTTCACTTCGATGGCCGAAGATTTCTATAACATTAGTTGCATACACGGGACATCCATATTATTCCTATTATATAATTTTTTGCAATTTAAGACAAGTGATTAGTGTTTCGCGCTAATTATATATCGTGATATTTGCTTCCAATTATAAAGAGACAGTGTATTTAAAAAAAATTAAGTGATCTCGTACACAGAAGGTTTTTCTATATAGAAACAAACTTATAATCACGCAGTTTTATATATATATATATATATATAATTTATATTTCTTAAAACCAAAATTAAAAAAACAATGTTTTAGAGACAATTTTTCATATATTTGAAAAAATCTAGTAGCATGAGAACCAATAATATATTAGATTCTTTTGGATATAATAAGATTATATAAATTTTAATGAATTTAACATGCCGAGATGTCAGTATTATACATGTTAATATAAAATAATATCGATTATTTAATAATAATATTACTAAATAAAAATAAAATATTATATTCAATAATATTGTAATATAGATGAGTAGATACTGATTCTACATGAATATTCGAAATAACTGTAGTAAATCGAATAAAATAAATAAAAAAACATATGATTAAAAATTTGTTGACAATGGTTTCGTAATATTAATAAAGATGTATGTTTGGGGAGAGGGAATATATTGATGCTGCCCATGGCTCCTGCAATTTTATGTGCTTCCACCTTTATACGCGTGCTACAGTTCGGCCATCTGATTAGTGTTTAGTCCCTCAATCATACAACGCAAATTCCCATCGGATAACTAAATAAAACCGGCTATTAAAATAATATATAACGCAACGGCTTCGCGATACGCAAAAATCAATATATGTCCTTGGGCAGCGGGAGGAACTAAAATAACGCAAGTACACACAAATAAAACTTAAACGGTTATAATTTAAATATCTAATCTAAACCCGTGTATACATATATATTATCTTATCTATTTATATAATGATTTCGCCATAGTGTATAGTTCTTATAATGTAACAACTCGCCGCTTTCACAACAAGATAATGGATCTTTAAGAATATTTGACAGTACTATAAGGACGTATGTTACTGACATCCCATGTACCAAAATAAGGTCGTTGAGTATTTTGACATCCGAGGAGGATCAGAGACGACTTCATATCTGTTGTTTCGTAGTACCTTAGAAACCTGGTACGAACCACGGAACTGCGGGATTAATTTCTTATCACTGCCCGGCGTGCTGTCAAAGTTACGAATTATCACTAGATCGCCTTCTACGTATCGTTTCGGTGCTTTATATGACGACGGTCATAATTTTCTTTTTGACGCTGTTGGGAAAGCTGCGTGTGCTGGGCTGCTTGATTACGCAAAGTATCGAGATCTCTGTTCGAGAAACTTATGGTTGTTACTAAGAAGTCCCTGCCGATCTGCGTATCTACCCTGCTGCTCGATGCCAAAGACTAATTGGCTGGGACTTTTCCCGGTAGATCGATTGATCGTATTATTGATAGCGTAATCTACAATATTTCGGGCAATATTTTATACCATTGCCAACCTTCTTCATTATTTGACAATTTAGCTATGCAAAGAGCTATAACTTTATTGACGCGTTCGGCTTGACCGTTAGCTTGTGGCAATCCACAGCTATTTTAACATGTTGGATGTCTTGTTCCTTCAGGAAATCTTCAAAGTCTCATGATGTAAAAGCACTACCGCGGTCGGAGATGATTATTTTGGGCTTACTGTAACTTTGAAAGAATTGTTGCAAACAACAAATGGTTTCTTTGATGTTAGTGGTCTTTGTAGAAAATAATCTGACGAACTTAGAGAAAGCATCTATAATTACTAGAATGTGCTTTTTCAACGATACTCGATTGTCCACCGGTCCAAAATGATCAACGTGGATCGTGTCGAACGGAAGATTTCCTTTTGGAATTGGATACAGATACCCCTCGCGCTTATCGCTTACAAGCGAAAACGATATACATTTTAAACAGTGTCGCACGTGCTCCCCGCATTTCTTGCGTATCCGAGGGAACCAATACGTACGCCGAATGATTTCGATCATTTTGCCTGACCCGACGTGACCCATTTCGTTGTGATAACGGAGCAAGACGTGTCTTTCCATTTGTTCGGGTACAAGAAACAAGAGGTTCGTACCGTGTTTCTTATAAACTAAGCCGTTACGCAATTCGTATTGCGGATCTTCTTCCGCCTCGAGTTTCTGTGCGATAGCCCTGATTCCAGGGTCCTGACCCTGTAAAACGGTGAGGTTCCACTCAAATGGATTGTCATCAATTAATAAGATTCCGAAAAATCTGCTCAATGCGTCGACATGAGTCATCCTGGAGCCAGATCTATGCACTACCCTGAAATCAAAGTTTTGTAGTTCGAGACTCCACCTCGCTATACGGGCATTGATATCGCGCTTCTCTAAAGTTTATTTTACATAGAAGTCGTAATCGTGAGTTGTAAGAAATTGACCAATCACATTCGAAGTTGAGGAGAATATTCAATCTGTGATTGGTCAA